CTCAGAGAGGCGCTGAGGAGCGTAGGGTTCCGTTGAGGCAGGAAATGCCCGCTCCGGAGGGCCCGGTGGGGGTGCAGGGCGGGAGGACCCGGATGTAGCGTCGGCCGCGGGGCACGCTGGGAGGTGTAGTCCGCGCCCCGTTCCCCTCGGCCCTCCCTAATAAAGACGTTGTTAATTACGCGGCGGGAATGAGGCAGTTCATTAGCAGCGCGGGGAGAAGAGTGGCCATGGGAACGCAATTCCCTTCATCCTGTCCCCAGCCCGGAGAACAAGGAACTGGGCGCCGAAGTGCCTGAGGGGATGGAGTGGAGTGGGGGAGTCACAGACTGGTTTGGGTGGGGAGGGACCTCAAAGCCCCCTCAGTGCCCCCCCCCCTGCCCTGGGCAGGGACACCTCCCACCACACCAGGTTGCTCCAAGCCCCCTCCAACCTGCCCTTGAACCCCTCCAGGGATGGGGCAGCCACAGCTTCTCTGGCCAACCTGGGCCAGGCTCTCACCACCCTCACACCAAAGAAGTTCTTCCCCACATCTCAGCTCCATCTCCCCTCTTTCAGTGTCAAACCCTTCCCTCTCGTTCTATGGCTCCCCTCCCTGATCCAGAGTCCCTCCCCAGCTTTCCTGGAGCCCCTTGAGGGACTGGAAGGGGCTCCAAGGTCTCCCCGGAGCCTTCTCTTCTCCAGGCTGAGCCCCCCCAACTCCCTCAGCCTGTCCCCACAGCAGAGGGGCTCCAGCCCTCCCAGCACCTCCAAATTATTCTCCATTTGTCCCAATTCTTCCTCTTATTAGCAGCTTGTCCAGTTTTCCTGCCATCCTCCCAAAGGCTCCCCACGCCAAGAAACCCCTTTTCCCCCATGACTCCCCATTAAGTTTCGCATTCACGATCAGCGCAGGAGGTTCAAGGCGAGTCGGTTGGGCTTTAATGACAGCTCAGGTTCACCCTGGAACTGCACAAAGCAGCAATAATTTCACGATTCAAAAAGCAGCCACTAAACAGAGCCCTCAGAGGCCACCAGCACGGCTGCTCACGCCACCCCAACACCCGAGGAGCTGCTGCAGCAGCGACCGACCGTCCCTCTGGTGTTGGGAACACGTGAGCCACTGTCCCTTGGCACAGACCGGGTGACTCCAAACCCGCAGAGGCTCTAGGGCTCGACTGGGGCTCACCCCACACCGCAGTGACCCCATGGGCAGAGCCCTCAGTGGGTCAGAGACTTCCTGCCCTTCAGCATCCGCCGGAGGATGACCTCGATGCCGCCCGGCGTGCTGATGCGCTTGATCCAGCCGTGGGTCCGCTTGCGCTTGCGGTTGTTGGGCTGATATTCGTTCCCCCGTGCTTTTGTGCGGACCTGCTGGTGGTTCCAGGGGGAGAGCAGGCCGGGATGGCCGCCGGCGGGTCTGAGGGAGGGATGGCTTCCGAGGGAGGGACAACTTCTGAGGGAGAGGCAGCTTCCAAGGGGCAGCTCCAGGCAACTTGAGAAGACGGAGGCTGCTCGGAGCTGGGGAGGGCAGGCTGCGGCTCGCTGCAGCAGAGAAAACCTTTGGGAAAAGGGAAAAACAAAGAGAAGTGAGGAGAGAGAGCCTGGCGCTGCCGCTGACAGGAAAATAAAGGGCTTTCCCGCAGCCCTGAGGAGACGGGGCTGACCCGGCCCAGGGCCCGCTCGCCCCCGCTGTCCTTCCCCCCCCGCGAGCCCTCCCCGGGGAGGCGGCGGCCGCCGTTACCTGCCGCCAAGGGCGGGCGCCCAGAGGCGGCCCAGCGCCGCCATCGCCCTCAGCCCGTCCTGGCAACACCGTCCCCCCAACAACGCCGCCTCCTATTGGCTCCCTCCGCCCGGCCGGCGAGGAGCGCGCATGCGCATTGGACGGGAGAGGGGACGCACGTATTGCGCAGCGGGGCCGCAAGGGACGATGGGGGTTGTAGTTCTGTGCGGGGGAGCCGTTACCATGGGAACGGCCGCGGGGTGCGGCCTGCGCCCCCCGGGCTTGTCAAACGCCGCGGCCTCCTGCGACAGGGGGGCCCGTCCCGGTCACAGCCGGCGAACGGAGCAACGGCCGCCGCTAAAGGGTGATTTATTCCTCGCCAGGATGGTTCTGCCAGCATTCACTGGGGCCTTTGGGCCCCTCTGGGGTGAGAGGCCCAGCCCAGCCCCAGGGCCCTGCCACCACAGGAGGCCCATGGCCTCGCCACCATCCCGGCCACCTCGTCCCTGAGGGGTGTGCTCTGGCTGCCCCCAAAATTGTCACAACAAGCAGCCTGGAGCACAGGTATCCATTTTTGGAAGCCTCCATGGGCACCGGCACAGGGTACATACACCGGGGCTGGGGCTGGCACCGAACTCTGACCACTCTCCTCCTCTAACGTATATATATGCGTATAGAGCAGCAGCATGTAGGATGTGCCAAAGCACCTACAGAAAGCTTCAGCCTCCGGCCTTTGCCACGTAGATGAATGTGATTACCTGTGCTTTACAGAGCAGGGAGATGAGGTGCAGGAGGAAGAAGAGGAGGAGGAGGAAGAGGAGGAGGGCCAGCTTGGAGGTCAGAGGGTGAGTCACTGCTAACCCGCAGGATCTCAGTCACCCTCGCCGTCCACTCTGCTCATTGAAAAGATCCTGCAGATTGTTCTGCTGGAGGCAAGCCCGGCCGTCCCGCCGAGAGCGGGCACCAGCTCCGGGGTTTTTCTGTGCTGCTTTGGTGTTTTCCTGCCAGAAGTTGGCCCGTCGGGGTGAGGGGACGCGGCTGCAGCCCTGCCAAACCTGCAGCTGTGAAAATAAACCCAAGAGACATTCCTCCTCTTATGTTTGTCCTCCTGTCCCGGCCCCTGGAGTCTGTGTGTTCACGCTTTCGGTGCACAATCACTTGGGCTGAGCTCTGACACGCTCGTGGCGCTGACACGCTGGTGGCCTCTGAGAAGCTGTGAATAGCAGAATGGGGAGAAAATGGTAAAAGGTAAAGAAGGAACTCGGTAACTCACCCCACTGGAAGGGGGTAAAAGCCCAGGGCGAGCCCTCTCGCCCCCCCTGCTCCTGGCAGGCTCCCCATGGGCGGGCGACTGGGCTGCGCTGGGTCTGGCTTTGACTGGCAAGTCTCCTTGTCTGTCACGCCCAGAGCCCTCCTCTTTAGGAGGGATTTAAGGGGCTTTCTATGGCTATAGACTACAAGGACAAATAGCACCCCCAAACCCCCCCAGCTCAGTTATGAAGCTGCTCATGGGGAGAAGATGGCAGGAGAGATTTCGGTCTAAGGGGGATGAGCTGAGCTGAGGGCATTGCTCCATCCTTCCCTCCAGACAGGCAAAAAAATGTAATCGGAGGAGCTGCAAAGCAGCCTGCCAGCTCTGGCACCCTGCATCCCGCTGCCTCGGGCATCTCTTCCTCTCCCCGCTTTGCCTCCTGCAAGATTCAAGCCTTTCCTTCGCAGCCTCGACTCCTGACAACCCTTGTCAATAAATGAGGTGAGCATCCCCCTTCTGTCTCTCCCTCTTTGTGCAGATGGGCTCGGGGCGCGGGCTGCCATGTAGGGTATGTGCTGGAGGGGAGGAAGGTGCTCTGCACGGGGAGAAAAATGGCCAAAATAGGTGGTTTTTTGTGTTTTGTTTTTTTTTCTGAAGCTGAGGATGGGAAGGGATTCGAAAGGTGAGAGATGGGATTGCGAGGAGAGAAGGGGAGCTGGGAGCCTTGCAGCGGCACGGCATCGCTCACGCTTAAATAACCCTGTTATAACGAGCACAATTTGAGCTGGGGGGGGGTTATAAAAAAAAGCTGCCCAGCAATAAAACTTGAAAAGGGTCGGCTTCTGTTGTGATGCAATTGCAGTAAAGGATTGCTGGCTCTGCCCGAAGACCCGCTGTTGCTATGTTGCGTGTCAAATCTGCTGCTTGGATTTTTTTTCGGTTGGAGAGATGGAGGGGGCACCTGCACGCATCGCTGCCCGGCGGAGGGGGCAGGGTTTTGCTTCTTCTCCTGCCTCCTTGCAATGGTTCCTTCCCTCTCGCTGCCGGGAGGAATCCAACCCGGCTTTTTCTGCTGCTATGCAGTGGAGAGGTGGGGGGGGGTTTGCAATCCCCCCTGGAAAATCCAGGAGGCTTTGGGAAAGGTTGTGGGGGGGGGTGGTGGTGGTGTTAAAGCAGGATTTGGGTGGCGGAGGTCAGGCACAGGCTGTGCATTGTATAAGCTTTTGTTTCTCAAGGTCTTCTGCCTTCCTAAAGAGAGCGGCGTGGCAGGCAGCCAGCGGCGGCTCCAGCCTGCCGTATGTCTTACAGACGGCTCTGCTTTCCCTCCCGTGCCCTTTCTTGACTCAAATGCCATTTCTCCACGTCCTGCGGGCCCTGGGTGACGCCGTGCTGCCCGCGGACAGGGATCCATCCCGGGAGGCTGCCATCCCTGCCCGTGCTGAGGATTCAGGGCTGCCTCCTTGGTTTGCTATTTGTACCACTGCTAAAGCCTTCCTGCCTGCTTACTCCTGACTGTCCTGATAAAGCTGCTTTAATTGCATCAGGAGGGGGAAGCCAGGCTTGACAGGAGAAATCCAGGTGCTAACACCGGCTAAAGTGGCTTTTTCACGTTCCCCCAGGGGGAAGTTTACTTTGTGGGTCCAAGACTGAGCAGCATAAAACATTTTCTTGTGTGTATCTGAGGTCGGTGCTTAAACCAGCGGTTGGTTCTCTTTATGGTGTTTCTCGATGCTGCAGTTTCTCCCCTCTGCAGGGAGTGAATGACTGGGGGGAGGCTGGGAAGAGCGTAATAATATTTGCCCGTTCCTCAAGAGTGTTGTGTGTCATCATTAATACTCCGCGAGCCCCGGAGGGAAGGGATTAGAGCTGAACAAATTATTATGGCAGGTCGGATCCTGGCTGCAGCGCATCTCACGCTCCTCTCTGGCACCTCTCCTCGGAGGATTTGCAAGGAATTAGCAGATTGTCGAGTCCCTGCTACTCCCCATGAGGGTCCAGGGCTCGGTGTGGAGAGGGGAGCGGAGGTGCTGGGGCGTGATGGGGGGTTTGGGGGGGTCGTGGCCATCAGCTCCGGTGCTGAGCCCCTCTTGCACTGCAGTAAACGATGCTATGGGCTCGATTATTGGGGCCAAATGTTTACCAGGACTTCTCTCTCAGCAGGGGTGGGCCCTGGGGGCCGTCATGGAGAAACGTGCAGTCCTTTCTCCTGCCCACAGCTCCAGGCCTCCCCAGCAGGGACGGGAGGAGGGTATTTTTGTCATACCCAGCACCCTGGGGGTCTGGGACATCAGCTGTCCCCAGCAACCTAGTGGGGACCCCTGTGGGAGGCAGGACCAGGAGGATGTGTGGGGCAGGGGAGACCCTCTTTTCTGCAGGGCTGGCAAGGGAAGATCCAGCTTGGCTAGCCCAGCCTGGCATGGCTGTAAGCGTGCCCACGGCGTGCTCTCGCATCCCTGGGGCAGATGTGGTGTGAGCACTGCCCTGATACACCACCCCAGGGGCTCTGTGTCTGCCTCAGGGGCTCTGTGTCAGCCCCATGGGCTTCGTGTTGGCCCCATGGGATTCGTGTTAGCCCTGTGGCCTTTGTGTTAGCCCTATGGCCTTTGATTTAGCCCCACAGGCTCTATGTCAGCCCCACAAGCTCTATGTCAGCCTCACAGGCTCTGTGTTAGCCCCACTGGCTGTATGTCAGCCGTAAGGGCTTGGTGTTAGCCCCACAGACTGTACGTCAGCCCCATGGACTCAATGTTAGCCCCACAGGGTGTATGTCAGCCCCATGGGCTCTCTGTCAGCCCCATGGGCTCTGTGTCAGCCCCTCGGGCTCTGTTTCAGCCCCACGTGGCTGCCTGTCACGTTACCCCGCCGGCCTTTCCACCCTCCACCCTGCCATCTCGCATCCCGTCCCATTTTTCTCCAGCTGTGACATGGTGCCATCAAGTTGTATAAAATCTGAGGCGCCGCAGCCCAAAGTAGGTCAGTAAGTTGGTGTTTTTTTTCCCCAGCTGGGTTCTTCACAGCAGCAGGGAGGGAGGGTGAAGGCAGAGGGGTTCTCTGAAACGATGCCTGGGCCTGGAGGCAACAAATCATCCTCCTGGGCTTAATCCCCAGCATCCCCCTCTGTGCTGGGAGCGGTTTCCTGGGGGAAAAATGTGATTTTAGGGCAAGGGGGGGGTGGGACCAGGATGTAGGTAGCAGTTTGGGGTGATGCCATCCTCCTGCCCAAGCCTGTGCCCGTGTCCTCGGCCTGGCGGGACGCGGTGACCGACGGCGGGTTCGCGCCGAGGCCTGACTCATTGTTGTGCCTGGCCTTATGTAAGCTGTGCCGAAATCTCTGCCGGGGGCGGCGATGGAAGGGAGCTGGGATGGAAGGATTTGAAG